GGTATTAAGAGAAAATAAAACAATGTATAAAAAGGATAATACATCATTGCCATTTGGAATTTAATCACAGAAAAGAAATGCTGATCTAACATATGAAAATCAAACAAATTCACCACACTGATAAAAACAAAAAATTATATCATCACTTCAATGGATGCAGAAAGAGCACTTGACAAAATTCAACATTTATTACCGCTGAAAACTTGCAGAAAACTATGACTAGAAGGCAATGTCCTCAAATGAAAGGCATTCATGAGAAACTATAGATAACAACATACTTAACGGAAAGAAACTGAATGTTTTTCCTCTAAGATCAGGAATAAGGCAAGGACATGCTCTCTCATGACTTCTATTTGACATTTTACTGGACATTCCAGGCATTGCTACAAGTCAAGAAAAAGAATTAAAAGGCAATCAGAGGTTGTAAAGAAAGAAGTAAAACTGTTTACTCATTGGCAACATGATGTCTATATTTAAAAATCTGCTGGAATCTACACAAGGAAAGCTACAAGAACTAATGAGTTTAATAAGAGTTAAAGCATAAGAGATCAACCTACAAAAATCAATTGAATTTCTATATCTCCCAATAAACAACAGAAGTTAACATTATAAAACTCATTTATAACCGCATCAAAATGAAATGCAAAATAATTACAAACAAATATGACAAAAGATGTCTATGACCTTAACTCTGAAAACTGCAAAACACTGCTGAGCATTAAATACCTAAATAAATGAGGAGTATAGTATCTTCAGTGATTAGAAGACTCAATATTGTTAGGCTGTCAATTGTCCTATATTGATCTACAATTCAATGTGATCCCAATCGAATTCTCAACAAGCATTTTTATTGGTGACAAGGTTTAAAGTTGAGAAGGTGATTGCAAAATTCGTATGGCATGCAAAGGACCAAGAAAACCCAAAACACCTATGAAAGAAGGAAAAAAACAAATTTGGAGGACTAACACTGTCTGACTTCAAGACATCGTATTAGCTGCAGAAATTGAGACAGCATCTCATTGGTATGAAGATGGGAAAAGAAAGAAATGGAATGAATTGGAGTCTAGAAGAAATAAATGGAACAAAATGGAGTCCAGAAACAGATCTACAGATACATATAAAGATATATATGTACACACACATGTATACACACAGGAAGATATGTATACACATATATTGATATATATACATATATATGTGTACACACACATGTAAAGATATATATATACGGTCACATATATATACACATACCCACACATATATGGACAACCCATTACCTACAAAAGTACAATGGCAATCCAGTGGAGAAATAATCGCCTTTTCAACAAATGCTGCTGGAACACCTAGATATCCACATGCAAAAACATCCTGACATTAATACCATATACAAAACAAAACTCAAAATGAATCATAAACCTAAATGTAAAACCTAAAACTATAAAGGAGAATGTCTTTGTAACTTTAGGGTAGGCAAAGATTTGTTAAGATGTAATACCATTAACATGATCCATAAAAGAACAAATTAACAAATTGGACTACATCAAAGGTAAAAGTTTCTGCTCTATGTACAACATTATCAAGAGAATAAAAAAAAACAAGCGTTAGAAGAAATATATTGAAATAAAATATTTTGTAAGGTACTTTTACCCAAAATATCTAGGGAGCTCTCAAATCTAAATAATAAAAAATGCATGACTCATTAAAAAAGCTGACAAAGTATTTGAACAAGCACTTCACCAGCAAAGTTATATAGATGGTAAATAAGCACACAAAAACATGTTCAACATTATTAATGAAAAATTAATGATTAACGAAATGTAAATCAAAACCACGATGAGACACCACTATATATCTGCTAGAATAAATAAAAATTTAAAAAACTACCTCATGCTTGTAATGCTAGCTACCTGGCAGACTGAGGTGGGATGGATGCTTAAGGTCAGGAGTTCAAGAATGGCCTGGGCAATTTAGCTAGACACTGTCTCTAAAAAATTAGCCAGGCATGGTGACACATGCCTGTAGTTCCAACTACTTAGGAGGCTGAGATGGGAAGATGATTTGAGCCCAGAAATTTGAGGCTACAGTGAGCTAGGACTGTACCACTACTCTATCCTGGGCAACAGAGCAAGACCCTGTATTAAAAACAAACAAACAAACAAAAATGACCATACCAAATGTCAGCAAGGATAAGAAGCACCTAGAACTCTCATATACAGCTGGGAGAAATGTAACATGGTATAGGGACTTTGAAAAACAATTTGGTAATTTCTCAAAAACTTAAATGTATATCTATATATGATCTATACATTCCCCTCATGGTATTAGCACCTAAGAGCATAGCTGGGTGTTGAACAATTAGAACACATGGGCAAAGGGAGGGGAACATCACACACTGGGGTATGTTGAGGGATGGGGGGCAAGGGGAAGGACAGAAGGGGGTGGGGAGGAGAGGGATAACACTGGGAGAAATGTCTGATGTAGGTGATGGGGGGAATGGAGACAGGAAACCACCATGGCAGGTGTGTACCTATGCAACAATCCTGCAAGATTTGCACATATACCCCAGAACTTAAATTACAATTAAAAAAAAGAAGAAAAAGGAAAACATTGGGTCCATACAAAGAATTATACTTGAATGTTCATAGAAACTTTATTTGCAATAGCCAAAAAAACTAGTAGCAACCTGAAAGTCCATCAACAGGCTAACAGGTAAACAAACTGTGCTATCTCCACATATGGAAGGATAATCAGCAATAAAAATAACCATCTGTACACATAGCAATGTGATGGAATCTCAAGATAATCATGTTGTTTGAAACAAGCCATACAAGAAATAATACTATGTGATGCACATCAAATTCTAAAAAAAATGCAAACTCGTCTCTAGCTGAAAGCAGAACAGTGGTTGCTGAGGGTTGTTGGGAGAGGCAGAGCAAAGCAACAGGTAAGAGCATGACTGAGGGATTGCCAAGGGGCACAAAAACTTTTAGGGATGATATTGAATATGTTTATTATCCTGATTATAGGGGCGGTTTCACTTATATATGTGTGTTCAAACTTATCAAATTGTACACTTAAACTATGCGCAGTTTACCATCCATCTCCAAGCTGTTTTTATATGAAGTGGCACTAATGATCCAAGGAGGAGTGCAGGAGGCTGGCTTATGAATAGGACATGGAGTGGTAGAAACTGAGCACTTCCCCAACAAGCTTAGCTTTGGTTGTGGAGAGGAAGAGGGAGAGAGAGTACCTGGCATAACCAGACAAAAGGCTGAGTTAAATGTTTAAGATTGGAGGAGCTTGAGCATATTTATATGCTATAGAAAAGGAGCCAGTAGAGAGAATAAAGTTGACAATTTAGAAGTCAAGAGCCAGCTGATGGAATATAGGATAAAAAATCCAAGAAGCAAGATAAGCCTTGAATATGAAGAACCTTATGGCTAAAAATGCAGGTTTGTTTTGTGGTTAGGTTGAGAGGTGCAGGAGTCGTCTGAAGAGTAGTGGAATTCAAGTCTGTTCTCTCTTTTCTTTTTCTGGGAAGGGTGAAGTTTGGGAGGAGCAGGTTACTTAAGAAGAATGGTGGAGCTTTGGAAAAATCATTGACTACCACAATTGAAATAGTAGCTAGAGATAAATGTTCAATCTTTGAGCATACTTACATAAATACATGAGAGACAATAAAATAGTTTTAAGCTAATAGAATAGCTGTCCCTTCCATATGTGCACAATGAGTCTTTTCTCTGATTTCTCTCTCTTTACCTCTAACCACATTTCACTTGTGATCATCTTTCTGTGGATTCACACTTTTCCCTCAATGCACAAGAATTTTTAACAAATTCTTTCCTCAACATCAGTGGGAAATATTTCTAACATACGCACAAAATGTGATATTGAACAGCTTTATTTAATCTTAACATAAAACCATATTTACCTAAGTTCAAAAAAAGTTTCAACCAAATTAAAGTCCACAGGCCAAGAGAGATTTCACCATTGGAAAACACCAACATGCTCACTTACGTTTCGCATTTCATATATTTTATGAATAACACCCAGAGCACCTCTGAGCACTCTAGGTATTACTGTCAGTAGACAGAAAGTAAATATGGTCAGAAATGGCCACAGGTAAGCTAATTAGGTAGTTTCCCTGAAATGAACTGTTAATATATTAAAGCCATGCAAATTAGCTGATACCCACAGGTCCTAGGTTTGGAAAAAATGCCTTGGTAAAGTAGAAATTTTTAATAAAAATAATAATTATGACCCCCAGCATTGATAGCATTTTTCTCAAGTGTTCCAAGTTTTGTTGCCACTTTGGCATTAGTAAATATGGAAAAGGTTAATAAAAAATATGTTCCCCACATCATGTAAAATTTCTGACGCTGAAAGCATGCAGTTTCTAAAGACAAGAGTCATTTTTCTTTAAGCAGTAATAAATCATCCATTACATCTAACAAACTGTAATTTGGATAGTGTCAGAGGCATGTGAACCAGAGCAACTCCATCTTAAATAAGAGCTGGGTAAAATGAGGTTGAAACCTACTGGGCTGTATTCCCAGATAGTTAAGGCATTCTAAATCACAGGATAAGCTACAGGTCATAAAGACCTTGCTGATAAAACAGGATGCAGTAAAGAAACCGGCTAAATCCGACCAAAACCAAGATGGCCACAAGAGTGACTGATGGTCGTTGTCACTACCACACTCCCATCAGCACCATGACAGCTTACAAATGCCATGCCAACATCAGGAAGTTACCCTATATGGTCTAAAAAGGGAAAGCATGAATAACCCACCCCTTGTTTAGTATCTCATCAAGAAATAACCATAAAAATGGACAACCAGCAACCCTCAGGGCTGCTCTGTAGAGTAGCCATTCTTTCATTCCTTTACTTTCTTAATAAACTTGCTTTTGTTTTGCACTGCAGACCTGCCCTGAATTCTTTCTTGCACAGATACAAAAACGCTCTCTTGGATCAGGACCCTCTCCAGTAACCACAGTACCTGCCAAAACAGACTGTGTGCATCTCCTCTCAGAAGCTCAACAGTATCCCCGGCCTGGAGGTGTAAAGGGGGTCCTTCATGAAGAGCTGGGGGTGGTGTTCCAGAATAGTTCCTAATGACCTGCATCTTTGGTAAACCTGAAAATAAGCCAAACAAATTTTAGAATTGAAAAAACAATTATGTGTGAAGTCTATATGGTATTTTTTAAGCCATTATTAACATTAAAAACTGTTAATATCACCAAGTCCAAGTAAACATTTTAAGTAACTACAATAGAATGCTCTTCAACTTTCTCATTATACGAGATGGTAATAGAATACGACATATATTTATCCCCTGATCCCCGACATCTTTTCCTCTCCCTCACCATCAATCTCTTTTTAGTTGAAAAAATATTTCTCCTTCAGCTGATGCCTGCTTCATAAAAAACATATCACGTACAGTTTAATGGAAAAGAATCAATTTTTTCATCAACTCTATCCTTTCTGCCTATTACTTTCCTCTTGGTCTCTGGCTGATTTCATCACTGAGGAGGTTCACCCTTTCTGTGTATGTATCACACTGCCCAGTATATGGCTCATATCTTAAGGTTATCTTTGTAATTCAAAAGCAAAAAAGGTGATGGATGTGCCACTGCAATACTTCAGACATTTATATGGAGAAACTCTTCGGGCTCAAATTTAGGCTTGCAAAACAGACCCAATAAAGGGAACATGTCTAAGCCAATAGCACCAACGATATTTGAAATACAGATCCATTCCTTCTCTTTGTACTTCTTTGAATGTGCAATGAAGGCTTCCGTTCAATATTTCATTTTTGAGAGACCAGCAGCTTCAATTGAACATGGGTCTAACTGCTACAACACTGGTCACAATGGACAACCTCACAGTCACTTTTTCATTTATAGGTCAAACTACTCCCTGCTAAGAGAGGCCACTCATAACCATGATATTTTTTGCACATGTAAGGAATGGAGCCTTTGCTTATTACCCTTCAGGATGTTTTATTTGAATAATTAACCACGGTAAAGCTGTAACTGGCTGAACATGCTGCACTAAACATAAAGAAGGATGAATGACTGTCATTCAGTTGTAGATGTCCAAGTTATCTAGAAAAATCTCAAAAGCTACATAAAATGCTTCAACAAACAGTTTATTAAAGTCCTCAAAATTCTTTTGAACAACCACGCCAGAGGAAGAAAAATACGTGTGGCTATAAACTGAACAGGCAAGCAAAGTTTTACAACACTTTTTATCAATCCAATCAGGAGGCAGAAGGTTGAAAAACACTGTGCCCTTCACCCCAATTTAGAGGCTAGCATTGCTGAGGCTTGTCAGGAGTTGCAACATCCTCCTTTGCTTCTGTTCTTGTGCCACAGAACCCCTGGAGGGATGATTTTAATTTCACAGTCATGAAGCATTTCTCTACCAGATGTTATAAGGTTGCACCCTAACACCAACAGTAAATTTCATTGACTTTTCCCTACACACCACTCTATAAGGTAACTCCTCTCAGTTAAACGTTTAACAGACTTGTTCTCCATACACTGCAAATGCCTTGAGTATAGACAGCTTATTTTATATGTTCTATTAAGTTGCTACTGCTAATTTAAAATGAAACCTAAATATTCCATACACACAAGTGATTAAGAACTCCAACAGGTGGAAGAGAATGCAATATAAAGTAGAATAATTTTTTTATTTGAGACAGAGTTTCGCTCTCGTTACCCAGGCTAGAGTGCAATGGCGCAATCTCGGTTCACCGCAACTTCGATCTGCCTCCTGGGTTCAAGCAATTCTCCTGCCTCAGCCTCCCAAGTAGCTGGGATTACAGGAGCATGCCACCATGCCCAGCTAATTTTTGTATTTTAGTAGAGATGGGGTTTCATCATGTTGACCAGGATGGTCTTGATCTCTTGACCTCATGATCTACCCGATAATTTTTTGAATGAAGTCTGGTTTGCATGATAGTTAACTCCATGTTTGAGGGAGAGAATTGCCTCTCCTCTGTTTTATTGAGCAGATCTAGGGCAAGGAAAGCATCTCATGTGGAAGACTCCCTGTGTAATTTTGTTCTTCTGACAGCTTTTAAATAAAGGCAGAAGTCAAGAAAGAAGAGTTTTCAAACCTCAAGTAGCTGATGTGGCCTCAGACACTGGGGCCAGTCCTGAGCCCTGGCCCTCACTGCAGTTTTCTGTTGCCAGGAGCCACAGGGATTAAAGGGAGCAGTGCCATGTGACAAATGATGGAAAGAGCAGTCCCTTTATTGTCAACATGCCCAAGTCAATCATTATTAAGAAGAAATGACTGAAAATTCATAGTGTTTAGAAAAAAACTAATTTTGATGACATTTCACCACCCAAATATATATTAGGGATTAAAATACAGAAATGTCCAGCTCCATAAGAGGCTGCCTCATATGTCTTTTTTTAGATGGACTGTAATGCCCACAAAATGCCCACAACATGTAAAATAATCTTTAACATTACAAAGGGTACATATACTAGTATACTCTGGTTACATAATAGGACCTAGCTATGCTACAAAGCAGAAATGATATACTTTGCTTTTCTAGTCCCACTTATTCCTAAGTTTTTTATTTACTCTGTCTTTTCTGGTATTGCTTTCTTCTTGGTTATGAGCTTCATTGAGGAAGTTCACCTACTATCACACTAGCATAGGTATGTTGCTGACCTCATCCCCAAAGCAAAAATGTGTAACTCTTGCCAAGAATTATGGTTAAGCCCAGGTAGTAGCCACCAAAATATTGTTACTAACCTCTATTCAGCCATAATCAACTTACAAAGTATAGTGTTTCTTCAATTCATATGATTTTTTGTGTGTGTGTGGAAGGAACTGTGAGTTTATAATGGAATGCAATTTTTTGGGGGGTCATTTGTTAGGGTGGTCTTTGGTGATTTATTTCTGATTGTCAGCACTTCCCATTTCAGTTTGATCTGTTGTCAGGGCTACAGAGATCAAAGGACAAAAGGAATGAAACACGGGCACAGCGATATAATGAATTCTGACACCTTGCCCTTTGCTTCTGATTTTAGCATATAGTAGGTTTTCTATAATTACAGGTGGGATAAATGGTTGATTTCCAAAATGTCCTTTAATATTCTTCCTCTTATAAAAAAGACACAATTATATTGCTAAGAACATGAACACATAACTGTAAGATTAAAATATTCCAATGAAAATAAGAGGAAATGGGTTAAACTTGACATCAACACTCAATCATCAATGTAATTCTTAACACAGTCTACTGCCACAGCAGACATCACACTTCACAGACGAGATCAATGGAGAATAAATTAGATTTACAGATGTTTATATTTCAAATAGCCAATTAGTATTAACTTAATGTAGGTTTTCTTCTCCCCCTGGAAAATATACTCTGACAGGTTTTAACCTCTGTTTAAAAATGTCCAGGAGAAAACCTTCACCACACGTCCCCACAACAACTCAGTCATTGTTGCACAGAGTTTATTAATAAGGTCTTGAAATTTACTTTAAAGTTTCTATGTAACTTCTCTCCATTGACCTACTGCCTTCCATCTGGAGTTACGCTGAAGATGAAAAATCTTCTTTTATAGATTAGTCTTTCAAAATTTGTTCAGGCTTAAAATCCCTGGTTCCTTAAAAAACTCCATTCATATTTTCCCTCGGCTGCCATACTTCAAGGATTCTGAGATGCAAAGTAGCATAAACCATAAAAGTTGAACTCTTAAGTTTCCTCACTGACACTGATTAATCGAAAATAGTCATATTCTTTAAAAATTGACAAGAAATACACATTTCATTATATTATAGACTCACAAGCAATCCCAGAAACCTGCTTCTCTCTTCTTGGGAAAACACAGACCTAACAATTGTTTAGTTTCTCTCCACTCCAGAACTGTATTTACAATAGACGTGTTAGCTGAGTTACAGTGTTGTTTACTGCAATCTGAATATTTATATTGCAACTACCTTAAGACATTAAATGCAAAATAAGCTTATGTACTTTCAACATATGTATTTGGGCAATCTTAGAATTTTCTAAAACTTTTATGTAGTCAATTACAATTATCCAAGGGAATATAATTAAAATACTAAGCCAAAATTAGACCTCCTGCCAGATACTTAATTATTTTACCTTGTTTCATCCCCTACATCAAATTCTTTGTTGTACAGCTGACTATGCCCTTAATATATAACTTGACAATTTTGCTCATTAACTTTTGTTCACACTAGTAATTGTGCTTGGTCTTAAATCAGACAAGATCTCCAAGTCAAACTTATGCAGGAGGAATTAACAAATACAATAACAATATTAAAATGATAGTTATACTATACCAATAGTCATGTGTTTCTGGTTAAATAAAACAAAAGCTACATGTATGTATGTAGAATGTAGAGTTTCCCAAAACAATATAGAAGTGTTTTTAAAAGGGGGACCTGAAACAAGATTTCCTTTCAAATCTGAATTCAGTACCATTAAGAGTGACACATGCCAAGTGACACATGTGCTTTTTAAAAAAGTTAATTCTAAGAAGAATCCTATTAGAAAATCACTGATAAATTTCATATAAACTTTCAAACTTCAATGAACTGAACAGCTAATTGTAGAAGCATCAACCACTGTGTCTTCTAAGCAGGGCAAGAAGAGTGATTGCTACAATATAGATTAGTATCTATTCATGATGCTGAGATCACTGCTCTAATGCAATGGGCTTCCCCAAGGCAATAACTTAGAAGAGAGTGCTGCCTACTAGATAAATGGGCTGTCAGTAATATGCTGGCCTTTCACCTCTGAAGTCCAATTTAAAATCTAAACACAGCCACATTAAAAAATAATTAGTTTTACAAGATATCAGAAGATGTAGATGGTTTATCCTGGGAAACTGATCACAAGCATAACCTATCCATTCATTCATCAAATGGGACTTGAGCATTCCGTAAGTGCTCGAGCACAGCAGTTTCAGAAGAAAGCAAGGGAAAGTATCCTGCCTTCAAACAGCCTATAGTCAGTCCATGAAATAGACAGGTGAACTCTAAGATAACAATACAACTGGGCATGATCTTCCATCCAGTGGGAACTTTAAAAAAATATTCATATCCATAAAAATTTTAGGAAATTTTGCTTTCATAGC